AATTAGAACCTAAAATACAAATAGATAGCCTATTTGTTTAAAAAACGTGCGCAAAATCTTAAAAATTTCGAATAATGGGGTATACCGTTATATGGGGGCTACCCGAAAAACTAGTCCAATATTCATAAATTTTGGTAGAGAGATTTCCTATACAATGAGAACCCAAAATACCAAATTACAGCCATTGCCAAAATACATCATTATAATATGACATAATTTTGATTTCATCTCAAAATATTATGTCGTCCCAATATTCGATTATATTCAAATGTATAGCGTTCATAATGGCGAATTAAACCCTTTTGTCTATATTTGCTGAAGATAGTAAGGCTTTTTTGCGTGCTGCTCTTGATGACCTATATTCTTCAACACCCGGTCCTTATTGATGTATGCGAAGTTTTGTTGGAATCGGTTCAGATTTAGATATTGCTTCCATATATATTTTCGCCCAATTTAATGTAAATGGTACACAAATGGTCAACATTTTGAAACGTTGTAAATCCTATATATCCAAACTATGTTTATCGTCATATTTTTACCTAGCCTAGAGAGAATCCAGAAATGGTACCTTTTGGTACCTCTTTCACAGTGGGTCAAAGTGTTGAAATTTTTTAATCCAATAACAAAGACATGAAATGAGTATGTTTGAGATACGTGTCTGATGATTCAAACGGACACAATTTAGTTAAACAAATATTTTTTGAAAAAACTTCAGATAGTTTCGATCCGTCCTTGTGACATCAGTAATTCCAAGAAATGGAAATTATAGCCAAATTGGTTGAAAAACTTGCCCAAAATGCCCTTAATACAAACATTTCGGAGATACTTTTACAAGTTGACTAATATCGATAGTTTTTGGTAGAGAGATTTGCTATCCAATTAGAACCTAAAATACAAATAGATAGCCTATTTGTTTAAAAAACGTGCGCAAAATCTTAAAAATTTCGAATAATGGGGTATACCGTTATATGGGGGCTACCCGAAAAACTAGTCCAATATTCATAAATTTTGGTAGAGAGATTTCCTATACAATGAGAACCCAAAATACCAAATTACAGCCATTGCCAAAATACATCATTATAATATGACATAATTTTGATTTCATCTCAAAATATTATGTCGTCCCAATATTCGATTATATTCAAATGTATAGCGTTCATAATGGCGAATTAAACCCTTTTGTCTATATTTGCTGAAGATAGTAAGGCTTTTTTGCGTGCTGCTCTTGATGACCTATATTCTTCAACACCCGGTCCTTATTGATGTATGCGAAGTTTTGTTGGAATCGGTTCAGATTTAGATATTGCTTCCATATATATTTTCGCCCAATTTAATGTAAATGGTACACAAAACTCACAATATTTGTTCGATTAAAAAAAATTGGACCAAAGTATTGAGACATATTTTTCATACAAATCTTAATTTTTATAGCGAACTACGGATATAGCGAACTTTTTTTATAACGAACTATTTATTCGGTCCCAATTTTCAGTTTTCATATACAGTCAAGTACAGTTATTGTGAAAATAGTTCGTTATAGAGGAAGATCGTTATTTCCAAGGAAGGACAGAACAAAGACTTAGCAGGAAAAATACATTCATTTATATCAAATTTTAAACAAATAAATATATTTAATAAAGGTTATATGGGGACGACCCCAAAAAGAGGGGGAATATTAATAATTTTTGGTTGCGAGATTTGTACCATGTACGATTACAAAATACCAAATTGCGAATTCTGTTGAAAAACACGCTCCAGAACCCTAAAATACCGAAAATGGAGGGTACCCTTATATGGGGGCTACCCGAAAAAATTGACCTGTATTCATAATTTTTCGTGGGTCGATATACCCATCTTCGAACTTGACCTGCCTGCAGACAAAAGACAAACCTATGCAAATTTTCAGCACCCTATCTCAATTCCTTCAGAAGATAGCGTGATTATAACAGACGGACGGACAGAGATCCGGACATGGCTAGATCGTCTTTACCCTGATCAAAAATATATATACTTTATAGGGTCGGAAATAAATATTTCGATGAGTTACAAAGGGAATGACAAAATTAATATACCCTCCATACTATGGTGGAGAGTATAAAAATGAGTGAAAATGTGTTGAAGCCAACGAGTTTTTTTGTGTACCTTCCTGATTTGTGGCTAAACTACACAACGCACAGTGTCACGACCGCGGCCAAAAATGGTCAAAACCAAGTACCACGGAGGACAAATTTTTTGATGAGGATTGATAGAAAACACTCTAATTAGAATAAATATGAAATTTTATATCAATATGTTAAGTAGTTTTGTCTCTACAAAGGTTCAAATCTGATAATTATTTATAAACCGATTTTTTACCATATTTTCGAAAAATGGGTGTGTTTTTCTGATGCTCAAATATTTGAATATTCAAATTAACGGTTATTATAAAAGTGTTTATTTTGATTGCTGTGGATGTAAAAATTAGGATTCGCTTTAGTTTGTATGTATATAGATATCATATGGTGTATACAGTCGTCCACACTTGTAGTTCATCAAATTTTTAAAACAAATTTTGAAATTAGTGGAGCAGAAAAAAAAGTTTAAAAAAAGGTTAGCTCTAATTTTTTTTGAGTGGTGAAAAGTGTGTTATTTAAGGAATAAAAAAAATTAGCTGCGGAGTCCTGCGGTCCTATGAGTTATTTAACTTTTTTGGTGACAGCCTTATTAAAAAATATGGCATATTCATGAAATGGTTAGAAGCGAATGGTCAAATATGTTATGTATACAATTAAATAAGTTATTGAGGGTCAAATAGGAAGGAGAATATGTATTCAGAACATAGAAATAATACAATATTTTTACATAAAATTTGCAATTAAGTGCTAAAAACGTTATTCGAAGCGAAGATATGGGAGAATTGGTTTTAAAATATAGCTTTTAAATAAATTTTCAGTCAGTTTGAAGATAATACTTATTTATCAGATCATTTGAGACATAATCTTATAATCTAAATTTAGATGTCGCACATGAATTACATTTGTGTAAAGTTCATACAGAAAAATATTAGTTCATGGCATGGGATATGCAAAGTGCAATACAATACCTTTTGAGCGACTTTCACAAGATGCTAACAAGTCATGCCAACAAATAATTAGTAGCAGCCCGAACTTTTGTTAAAGCCGAGTTAAATAAGGATATTTAGAATTTTATATTACAATCCGACCTTGTAATATCCTTAAACAGCCATAAAGTAAAGGCCCGAGATTATAACGTGGATAATACTAAATCGTACATTTGGGAAGACAATATTTTATATATATCTCTGATGTGTGTTTTGAAAATTTTGTGAATGATAAAGAAGTAATTTATTAGTAACTAAAGTATATCAAATATTTTATTATATTAAAAATAACAAAAATAAAACTACTATACTTAATTTTGCTGCATATAACGATTTTATAGTACAGAATGTTACATTTTTAGGGACTTTTGGTATGGTAGGTACCTGAAATATGGGCAAACAACTAAATTACAGCATCTATTACTTTCTTTTGATTTAATTTGGAAGAATACATGACAATTTTCCTGCAATTTGGATGAATATAAAAAATTTATAGGTCCAAAAAGCGGATTTTTCAAGACCCTTCGTATGGGAGGTATATCAAATCTTGGCCCAATCTACCCAGTTTTTGGTCCGTTGCTTTATAGGCATAAGTAAATGTAAATTGCCAATTTTCATTGAATTTGGTTGAATATTAAAGATTATATAGCCCAAAATAGTAAAATTTTCAAGACCCTTTGTATGGGAGGTATATCAAATCTTGGTCCGATCTACCCAGTTTATGGTCAGTTGCTTTAGAGGCCTAATTAAATGTAAATTGCCAATTTTCATTGAATTTGTGGGAATATTTAAGATTTTATAGGCCAAAAAGGGTGACATTTTCAAGACCCATTGTATGGGAGGTATACGAAATCTTGGTCCGATCTATCAAATTTTTTGTCAGATGCTCTTTAGGCCAATAATAAGCACATGTACCAAATTTCATTAATTTACGATAACTCCTTCTATTTTTGGCCGCTGTTTATATGAACTCGCGACATAGTGCAACGCACGCACATGTAATCAGTGATTAAGTTGCAGAACACCCAATGGACAATATGGTTCTAATGAATGATTTTTCGATATAATCACTGCATCCACCCAAAAAGGATGCTGACATTTTGAAGCCGGATTAAGTGTATATCTAATGAATATGGTCACCGTAGCTTCTTTGCAACTGGATTCCAAAGGCGAAAATTTGGAGCGTACATTTTTATAATAAACCTATTTTTTGAGTCTAAAATTGAGAAGGTTCACCGATTTCTTTGAATTCTTCCTTTTTTGCAGTACAATTTATTTTGTTATTACAAAATAGTCAGGCGTTATCCCAGTTTGTTGTTGTTATTGTCTTGACCATCTGTCAATATTTTTTATAATATTTCGCATGGTTAGCAACATTGCATATTGAATCTTTGTAGAAATTACGCACTTTGACAGTTAATCGAGTTATCAGCTGCGCTAAAAGGACTACCTATTTATGGTACTACCGATTTAATTGGTAGTGCATACATGAATGCAAATAAATAAATTGCAAAATAGTCAGGCGTTATCCCAGTTTGTTGTTGTTATTGTCTTAACCATCTGCCAATATTTTTTATAATATTTCACATGGTTGGCAACATTGCATATTGAATCTATGTGGAAATTACGCACTTTGACAGTTAATCGAGTTATCAGCTGCGCTAAAAGGACTACCTATTTATTGTACCATGCTTAACACCTAGGAACAACACGTAACCGGATTTCATTCGTAATCAAAACCGCTTTGAACATTTTATGATTCATAAAAAATATACATAATTAATGTAGTTTGCAATAAAAGAAAAAATAATCATTTATTTATGAAAAAAATATATAAAACATTGCTTTCGTATGTCCATTTGCCAGCCAGTTTTCAAAAACAAAATCCATTAATTTCAATTTAAATATCAATATCTTCGACTCCATGTGCCAAAGCTTGTTCATGTAAACACTTGCAATATTCTTCAGCTGCTTCGCAGTGATCGTCAGATACACTTATCTTGGCACAGGCATCAATAATTTCTCGTGCAATTTTCATTTTATCCTCTGCTCCTTCCGTATACATTTCAGCATGTTTCAGAGCAACAGATGGAGCAAATTTTCCATTGGCATCAATCTTAGAAATAAGTTTGGAATATTAGTGATATTAGGTGATTGTATTAATAATGTAATTCATATTTAATTTACCACTTCATATTTCTTCATAATACATGCACGCAGACATTTTCCCTCGGCTGTCGAGGCTGATTTTTTACCTATAATCTCAGCAAGATCAGCTAAAGAGAAGAAAAGTAAAAACGTTGTGATTTAATTGGAAGACTTTTAAACTAGAAAACGTTTCTTCAAGGAGACAAGAAATTACAGAGAAAACAAGTAAAAACGTTTTGATTGTAGATGTAAGTAACAAATGTGGCCACGAAATGGTAAAAGTTTTGTCCATGTAAAACTCTTCAAAATTCTGGCACATAAATAATGCTTCATATCAAGATCTATTAATAGGGTCATCAAGCAAGCGAAAGCCATATTTTTTTTCTCAAGTCAAATGTAAAAAAATGGACTTTATTTACGTTTTCATAATGGAAGCCAATTCACAATAACGGATTTTGAAAGCAAACTTGAGAAACAACTGATCTCCCTGGATGACCTTATTAATGCGCCCTGCTTCATATCTGAAATTAAATTTTCTCACCATCAGTGGCATCAGTTTCTGCCTTGCAAGCTTCTCCTTTGGACATAAATTCCGCAATTAATGCATTTTTATCGATTGCACCACGAACTAAAACCGCACCGACAACACAGAGAATTGCAAATGTTAGAAAATACTTGGCCATTTTTGACAAATATGTTATATTAGATTACTGAATAAAATATAACTGGATGTTTATAGTAAAACAATTCAATTGATACTCAATATATTTTGAAACAATTGGCGACTATTTATGGGAAGGAATCTTCAGTTTCTGCGTTCCGTTAAATTATAGGTCACATGAAATAAACTGACAATTTATATTTTCAATTTACCATTAGACATAGATCAATGATTTTAGAATATGCAAAAACCGTTATGAGCTGCAGTAGAATTTTTGAAAACAATCAAAAAATTTTTTGTTTAACAACAATTGAAAGATAATTAACTACCGATTTAATTGGTAGTGCATACATGAATGCAAATAAATAAATAAATTGCACCGTTTCATAAAATACTGGTGACGTTTAAAAAATTTGGTTGTTTTACGAATAGAAGACAAATGATGATTTAGTTGTATTAAAGCTACAATAATTCCAAGTTTGTAATTTTATAGCCTGTTTTACTAGACGATTGAAAGCATATTCGAACCAATATCGATTTCGAGGTTCTGCATACGTTAAGACCTCCATTTCATAGCGAAGTGTAAATGGATCTGAAATCAATATTTATATAATTTAGTTATTATTTCACACCTTTGGTTCACACAAAAGTTTTGAGAGGCAATTAAAAACGTCGAAAAACATGTTCAGCATTGGTCCACCTCTTGGTATCTGCGAAAATATATATCGTCCATTGTCTTTAATTCTATTTTAATAGTTTTTTGCATCCTTAAGCATAATTTTAATCCATATCTTTACGATTTTAACAAAATTATTCGATTAAAAAATATACAATGGTGGCCACGTAATTAAAACATTTACTGTGGTAAACATTTTTTGATCAGCCCTCGGTTCTTTTGAGGTATTCTTGAGAATTTTTTTAATTCTGAACACTTCGATATACTGCACTTTAGAGATTTAGTGTGAAAATAGAAAATTATTGCATGCAATTTTCCATAAATAACGGTATTTATGAAACAACATCGACTTTGAGGTGGCCACATAATTAAAACATTGTTTAATTTTTTACTTTTCTGCATTTTTGAAAATACTTTAAAAAAAAACTTTTTAAATTAGTTATATTATGTAAACTAAGCACCGATAAAATCATTTAAAAATTATTTTTTTTTTTTAAATCCATAAAATTGATCAAAATGGTCAAAAATTTGTACAGTACACCTAACATTCAGAAAATCATCCTTATTATAGAAAATAAAGGTCCGAATGCGCCAGAAGTTGCTAGAATTAGTAGAAAACAATAAATAATTCTCAGAATAAATAAATATTTGAAATAAAAACTAAAAAAATGGGAATTAATCTAAAGGGACGATTTAATTTCGATAGCCTTTATTGAAGAAGGCCGGAATATTTTTGCAGTATGTGAGGAAATATCAATTGATATTGTCATTGATTATATCAAATCGATTGTTCGGGTAGTACAGAATATATTTGATCAAAAAATACATCAGCCACAACAGAACGAACAGAGAAAATTAAACGGGAAATGATTATGTCGTCTTTTCAAATCGTTTAGCTATAGTGCATAATTTCTGGGATGACGTTTTTTATTCACAGAAGTCCGTTGTACCTAATTATAGACAGGAATACATAGGAATACATACTCTCTGTATGTATTCCTATATCATAACTTGGATCTAAATAGATAATTATTCGCGAAAATGGGTATCAGCCCCCCATTATCCCGGAATGACATATTTTAGCTACTACAATGGGAATGGAGATATATTAATTTTTGGTAGGAAGATTTGACACCACATGAGAAATTATGGGGGATACCATTATGTGGGTACTACCCGTAAACTTGGACCAATATTGATAATTCTTTGTAAGGAGATTTTGTACTGGCTGATCATCTAAAATAAAAAATTACACCCAATTTGGTTGAAACATGTGATCAAACCCGCCAAAATACAGAAGGGTGGACCAATATTGACAATTTTTAGTAGGATTCATGCTACCAAATAAAACAGCCAATTACAGCTGATTAGGTTAAAAGTGTCCAAATCCCCAAAGGATCGTATAGTGTGGAGTGCCATTATATGGAGGCTTTTCGGAAGCTTCGAAAAATTTTGTTAGGAACATTTTCTACTCAATGATCATCCGAAATATGGGGACTATCCAAATATCCTAGGAGTAGTAGCAATGTATGTGCAAATTGCAGAGCACTATCTCAAATCGTGGAGAATAGAAAAAGCTAACTTTATATTGGACTATCGTTATGTGAATTATACATTAACATATGGCTATGCAAGACAATGTTTTCCGGGACCGCTAGTTTATAATAAGCTTAAAAAATATATATGGGCAATATTGCCATTTTTTTTTAATATTCCATTTTCAAAAAATTGGCTTTTTTGTTTTTGTGGTACATCAATTGTTTTTGGTACACATATAGAGGAAAATGTTCTGAATTTTTGGTTGATGCGCGCAAATGTTATCGAGGTTTTAATTTTCGGCATAAGAAAAAAAATCTTAAAATTACGCGGTTTATTATATTGACCAAAAACGTTGCACATCTTCGCGATATATAAGAAAAATATTAAAAATATAGGAGATTACGTCAATATTTTCATTATACTAATGACATGTATCAGCCTAAAAATTAATTTATAATTATCTTCATAACCTAAACACCATGATGAATCAAATGATATCAAAATCACACAAGTCTGTGTAGTGGTTTGTAAATTACAGCGAAAACAAAACATGATATTGAGGGAAAATATTTATTTTTGGTTCGAAGAAAAAATGTCATCATATTTATTTTTTTAATTTTATACAAGAAATTTCAGGTAAAAAATGTTGGGGTTATTCTTCTATTTTACCCGAATTTCGCCGAAAAATTTACATGGAAGGCCAGTTCCCCCCGTTCTAATTGATGGATTTTCACGAAGAAGATTTTATATCATCCGAAACGTAAAAAACCTTACTGTATACTCGTATCATTCAGTTGACAGATCTACAAATTTGGCCCGAAAAATAGGTTTTTTAGAAATTTGATCGCACAAAATTTTCACCTTCGGATGAGTATTACTCTGAAGCTGTACATACTACATACACAAAATATATATCAAATTACTCAGATTCGCGACTACAATAATCTTATAATCGATTTTTAGAAATTCTGGTTGCGTATTAAAGCTAGAAGTAAAATTAAAAAAAAAAACATAGCGTGGTAACTGTTCGACAAATCCCTTTAGCGTTTGCATAATCGGTAGCATTGACTCAAAGTCTATCTAATATATATTCTTTTACATCAGAAAATTTTTTAGATTTTAGCCAAACTTCAAAGAGCTCTCTGTACAAAATTGGCATTTTTCCACTTCACTTGTTTAAGAACTAAAATAAATCGATATTCTTTTGTTTTATAACTTTTATAATCCCGTTCTTTGACACTTATTGAATGACAAAAATCTATGAATGAATATTCGTTAAATGCGGATTTTTCATTCATATGTAGAAAAATTCATAGGTAGAAAACATACCCTCATTTTCATACTCACACCCATTTCTCTGGAACCTTAGGACGGACATTTTGAACTTGTTTTTTCTTATCTTTCTTATGTGCTGTGATCTATTCCAAGTCATATTTGATCAATTATATTAACAAAATTTTTTAATTTTATTTGAACAAAACCTTAAAAAAGCTTTCTATATCAAATTGACATTTTTTCGAAAAATTGCCATAAATCCGAGAGTCGCAGGAAGTCGCAGGAAAAAATTTAGTATGATGTTCTGGACAGACACACAAAACAAATAAAAAAAATCAACGCTGAACTCGACTGCACTCCATACGAAACCCCTATTTTGTTGAAGTATTATAGCATAAGAAACGCGAAAGACCTGAAATAGCTTTAAAAATGGAATGATATCAAATATCATCCGAGTTAACCTCCAAACTAGGCGCCTAAGTGTAAATGATATCCAAGAAAAATTAACTTTTATTGTTCCTTTGTGTGAACATCAGATCCATATCACATGAAACTTCGCAATTTAGCGCCTTTTTCCATTAAAATAAATCTATATGATGTTTTGAAAAATCTGCTTATTGGATTGAATACTTCGTAAATTCCTTATTTTTTTTAATGACGAAGTTTCTTGAAAATTAAACAATTGGAAAAGATTTCTAATAATGTCAGAGGTATGGATTTTTTATCGTTGTAAAAATTGTAAAAGTTTAAAACTGAACGTAAACAAACATCCCAACCCCAAGACAATGACGTTTTCGTACATATATACATTTGCAAGTGAACTATTTATTTTAAAATATATAAAAATTATTAAAAATGTTTGTATTTTAGTTTAACTGCTAGGTCCCCGAAACTTTGGTGATTTGCAATTTTCCATATCCACAATGCTGCATTACACTTTGAATTGGGTTAGATCGCGATCCATTGCATGCTTCATAAAACATTTGCCATATTGTTCAGCAGCTTGACAATGATCGTTTGACACTTTAATCCGAGCGCATGTATTGACGACCTCTTTGGCTTTCTTTATTTTTTCAGCATCACCAGCTGAAAATGTTTCAGCATGTTTTATAGCAATAGCTGGTACAAATGTGCCATTGACAGTCATCTGTTGGATAAGAAAATAAAGAGAACAGGAGATAATTATGAAAAGCTTGAGGTTTAATTTGTAATTTCGATCAAAATCTTACCATTTCGTATTTTTTCATAATGCACGAACGTAGGCATTTACCTTCGGCTGTTGATGCTGGTACCTTTCCTAGAATATCTTTGACATCAGCTAAAAGAAAATATATTTAAATGACATATATATCTTCGTTAAGGATCGTGTAATATCTGTCGAAAACAACATTTATCTGTCCTGACAATCACTCTGTAATGAATAAAAAATTTTTCTATTTGTTTATAAATGCATTTTATTACCATCCGTGGCTCCAGCATCAGTTTTGCACTCTTCCAATTTTGCCATAAAATCATCCATGGCCGCATTTTTG